AAAAAACATGCCCTGCCGTGCCGCTGCCGCGGTGGTGGGTAGCGGTGCGGCAGCGGCAGCGTCGCGATGGACATCTCTGCTTTGGTATTCTAGAACTGCTCACATGAATCAGATTGAGTTTTTCTAATCAGACAATCGATACTTGATTGTCGAACTTTGTTGAATATCAAAACTTGAAGAAAATAGCAAATGCAGTGTATGATTGAATATTGTTATGATGAACTGTAATATTCACATTGCTTGAGGATGATCGTTGCTTTGTGATTCTGCACAAAAGTATTTTTTAAAGTATTTTCAATTTAAAATTAAAAATTAATAATCTGCTCACGTTTCATACTTGTCAATTTTTTTTTGAAATATTTGACTTATCATTTCAAGAAAAGACATGAAGCATCTTTCTGAGATCAACTTATTCCATGCAAGTGTAGTTGAATTAAAGTTCTCGTTAATCATTCTTTTACTTCAAAAAATTGACGTTAAAAAATACATGGCAAAATCGAGAACTGAATATCTATGTTTACGTCATTGACGAGTGTTCAGTGTTGATCGAAATAATCATAGTGAGTCACTGGCACATGGTCCACTGAATCACTGACATTCTCTTCCGCTGCAACATGGCAACACTAATTCTATCAAACTTTATCTGTATCATAACGAAGAGTACCGATAAATACAGGTGCCAATGTGTTCTTAGTACGCCTATGTAGTCAGTGTGTACTACCAACATTAAGTCATTGGGCAGTAAACTAAAGCTATGGATCTCTAACGGAATATATTGGTTACAGCATCGTAGTCAATCGTCGAGAATGAAGCTTCAACGATCAAAACAGTTCCTCATTGCCATAATTTCAGAATTAGAATCAAGATAACGACAGTTTTTAACCAAAGATAACTCGAAAAAGATTGCAAACCAATATCTTGATACACATTGATTGCGTGTGGATAATGAGAAAAACTACTTTAAATGCTTGCTGAAATCTAAAGTTCATTATATAATAACGGGTGGGCCATAAATAATTATACTGTCAGTATTTTTAATATTTCTTCTCTATTATTCCTGTGATTCAAACAATTTTTTATCAAAAGATAGCGCTTAAAATTCTCTACAAACTCGTATATGAATAGACTCAAAAACTGTCTCAGATATATTTGAAAAAAGACGAAAAATGAAGACATACAAAGAGCTGTAAAATGTAACGAGTTGAGCATAATGCCTGGCCACATATTGCATCTCATATTTTTATCATTTCATCCTATTAAAAAAAATATACCAAAAGATGCAATGTGAAAAGCTCTACAATTTACATAAGATCGCCTGTTTCATAGTTGCACTTTTTGTTTTCAAAATGGACAAAATTTCGAGCGATCGAATTTCGACCTTGGGAGAATAGTAGTTTTTTTGGTACAAAATGAATTCGTTTTTTTTCTTATTTCATTTTCTTATCATCTGATATGTTTTATTAAAAAAATAATAAAATACACCACAAGATGCAGCGTGAAAAGCTGTACAACTTACAAAGAATAAATTATAAAAGATGAAATACGAAAAAATGAATTCATCCTCTTCCAAAAAAATATATCATTTTCACACGGTCGAAATTTGATTGTTTAAAATTTTGTCTATTTTGAAAACAAAAAGTGCAACCAGACAATAGGCGATCTTACGTAAATTGTAGAGCTTTTCATGCTGCATCTTTTGGTATATTTTGTCTTTTTAATAGGGCGAAGTAAGTGATGAAGAAATGGGGTCCAAAATGCAGCCATTCATTACGCCCAACCCGTTACATTTTACAACTTTTTGTATGTCTTCATTTTTCGTTTTTTTTCAAATATATCTAAGACAGGTTTTGAGTCTATTCATATACGAGTTTGTAGAGAATTTCAAGCGCTATCTTTTGATAAAAAAATTGTTTGAATTACAGGGATAATAGAGAAGAAATGTTAAAAATACTGACCGTAGAATTATTTATGGCCCACCCGTTACTTTATCTACAAAAACTATTACTTTTCCTATGCTTTCGGTATTTAATTACAATTTCCAAATTTGTAGAGCATGAGTGAACTTTCTAATTCATTGTTTTTTACTAACAACTCAGTACTCGATTAATTTCATTCGTTTTGTTCTTGAAACATTGATGATAGTCAATAAAAGAGAAAAAAAAATTACGACAAGTTCTTGGAAAACAAATAAAATAGTTCTAGAGATAGCAGTTCAATTGTGCTGAATGGAACGCTTTCTATTTTTCTTGTTCAAAGGAGTAAAATGAAATTAAAAGTTGTATTCTAATCGTTATAAACAGTTTTGCTGATTGAAAAAAATGTATACGTTAATGAATGTTGAATATCGACATTGATCGACAATAATAAGTCAAATATATTTATTCTTAATTGGTGTTGTAAACCCTTTTTGCCGGTTGTATAACATGAACCATACTTGTTAATATAAAAATGTTCTATTCAACGCTAATGCAAGTGACAACATACTTTTTTCCAAAAGCGAAACACTTTAAAAAAAACAGGAAAATTTCTCCGAAAGCATGTTAGTATGGTCGAAGTTGCCTGTGGTAAATCTGTGAAACTCTGATGGTTTTCCGAAAAGCCATATATCTTTTGAAAGAGGGAGCTTCGCTACATCTTCCTATGACGAAAACTCAACTTCGATATTCTTTCGAAAAACTGAGTTTTTTGAGGGAGGGAGTCCCCATAAAATTGATTAACCTAGGAGCCAATACTTGAATAGATCTGAAAAAAGACGTCTCTACAGAAATCTTTCATATTGCCTATTTTTATATGTTGATTAAAACTATCGCAATTCAAATTGTATAAAATCCTTTTATATACGAAATTGGAGAGCGAATCTCTCTCACCGAGATGTCAATTTACTCGTCTTTTTACATATGACAACAGTGTCTCAAAATCTATTACATCCTAGGAAACAAAATTCGAAAAACGTCTATAGATGTTGACTTTTTTGAGCTCTAATTTATTGTAATCCATAGTTTTGTAGAGAATTAAAATGGTTTATAACAATATATAGAGTCAAAACTGTTTCATAATAATACCTAGAAAATTTATGAATGACAAGTAAAAGCCTATTTTATTTGGCGTCAACACCAATTTTGGTTGATTCAGGCATTTGTTCACAGTTAAGCAGCATAAAGTCAGAAAAAATCTGATCATATATTTAGAAAGAGGACAAAATTCTAACTCTAGCTGACTGTTTTTGATGTCCTTCAATGACATTTAAGCGGCCGAAAAATGAGCAAATGTTTGTGCCAAGATGTCTTAACTAAGTCTTTGTACACATGCGTCGTTTAGATCCATTTAAATATTTGCCTCTAGTGAATCAACCTTTAGCCAGAAAAAAACTCTGTACATACATTTAGAAAGAGCATGAAATTCTAATTATAACTGGCTACTTTTCATTCTCTCCAGTGACGTCTAAGTGGTAGAAAATTGAACAAGCATTTTGCATCGAGGCTTTTTCGCTATCAGTTATTTCTAAAGATAATAAAACAGGGTAGGAGACTTCATGATTGATAAAAATCATCATTAAAAACTATTTTGAGTTCATTTTCAATTAAATCAAACATATTAATTTATGGTTCATATGGAAAATTATCAAAACTCATTACTTCAAACAATTGATTATTTACTTACTAAAATGGATGATTCTCATGGACAGAGAATCGTTATTGGATTAAATTATTTATTTATTTTAATTAAAGGTTGAGAAATATATTATTTTATTTGTATTATATTAACAATGTACATTCCGAATTTAGAATTTAAAACTGTTACTTCAATAACACAACTTGCACCTTTTTGTATTGTCTCGAAAATTGTACAAATATTCTAAATATTTAATAGAATATTTATCATCGATTAATCAATTCGTTTTCTTGTTTTACTTTGATGGATTTTATTTGATCAAATGATTTGCTTTCGAAGTATTTCGTTTTTCGGTAAAAATCTTTATTTAAGGTCCCCCTACTCAAAAATCTTTTTTGCCTCTGAGCAAAATATCTGACTGAAATTTCAACCCAAAATATTGAACCGTTCATGATTTATCCTGGTATCAAAGGTCAAAAAGTATGTTTCCGTATTTTAACGACTGCTCCTCCAAATCTAATGACACCGATTTTGGGTTCATGTCAAAGTGTAGATAACACCTGCCGCTTCCATTTAGCAAGGCTTGGTTTTCAAAATTTTCTTTTTTCCATCTAGTGAGAACTCTCCTTAAGAAATTTGAAAAAGTAGGGGTACCTTACTGAAAAAAATGAAGCGGTTTCGAGAAGTCAAAATGAAAAATCCGGCTTTGTTAAATTATAGAACACAACTTTCTCTTCGATTTAAGCTCTTTTCGAGATTTCTAGCACGTAAAATAGCCGAGAAAACTTTGAAATGCAAACAGTAAAAAACGAAAAAATCCATTTCGAGAAAAACGCGAAACAAATTTTAGCATTGAAACACAAGTCGCTTTCATATCTTCAGTAAAGCACATGAAAAGCCATAGAAAAGCAACAGAAATCTGATGAATCACAGTGTTTTCAAAAGCAGACACTGAGGACTATCTAAGTACACTAAAATCTCAAAATCGAATTTTTTGACGAAAATCGTAGTTTTTGAGTGGGGGCGGGTCTTAAGTGATTAAATTATCTCTATTGATTATATTAGGTGTAAATGCAAGTAATCTTACAACAATTAATCTATTATTTTTTAATAATTCCAAAACACTTAAAAAATTTGAAGCTATTTATAGATTTGAAACACGAACAACGTCAAGCGCATTTTATATTTTTATCAATGAATCACCTTCTAATGGTTCATGTGGAATAAATCTTTTAAGGAGTATAATGAATACTTTATTTATTGTTTCATGTTCAAATTGGTTTGATAAAGATAACATTAAAGATAATTCATTATATTGTATGAAAACAATTTTTTTTCAATAAAAGATTAATCTTTTCTTGTTTGGAAAAATTTTGTCATTAAAATTAATGACCATCACTTTTTCACAAATATCAAATTTTCAGCTTCATTTACCGACTGAAAAACTTAATCTTATTATTCATATTCGAAATGCATTAAGTTGTATTGGAGAATATAACATATCATCTATTAATGTTGAATCGAATTTAATAGAAACAAATGATTTGGTTAATGATCTGAAACGATCAATTATTTTCAACCAAAAATCAAAATACAATTAGTCAAATTATTATTTCACTTTCACAAGCATTTAGTAAAATTAGTGATCAAATTCTTAATAAAGATATTTCAACTAAATATTATTTTACAATAAATGGAAACAATCCAGATTTTTTAGATGATATTTTATCTACAACTATTTTTATATCATCATTAGAAACTTAAAATTCACAACAAACTATTTTTATTTTATTAATTTTTATTTTATTTTAGCACTTTTTTTCAAATAGAATTCAGTACCATTTAACGAATCAGATCTACATGAGTATAATAAAGAAATAAACTCTTATGCAAATTTTCGAGAACATTTAACAAAATTTAAAATAAATCTTCTCACAATAGCATTAAGTAGTATTAAATTACAATCATTGTCATTAGCACAATTAACTCAAGTAATAAATCAATTAAGAAGAACAACTTTAGAAAGAAAGCAAATTTTTTTATTTCAAATATTTTTATTTGAATTTCAATAGACACTCGCATCAGAAAAATGTTATCAATTATCTTTTGCTTTATATTTAATGTCAACAAGAATTTCGTACAAAGGTGCACAAATAGCTGTAATTCAAACTTTTCCATGTGCTATGAATATTCTCAGTGAAGTATCTAATATAATAATAAAATTAGATCTAATTATAAATTTAGGCTGTTAATGGGCCATCACAACAAGTATATTAAATTTAGATTTATTTCCTGCAAAAGAATATCATGATGATTATTACATTAGTTTTGATTCGGAATAGGAACATTTAAGTATGATTTTATTATATAAAACTTTATATTTTTAAAGAATTATTCATTATTAAAAATAATTTTTTAGAAGAAAACTTGAAATAACTCGAACTATTTATTATCAAAGACAATATCAAATCAAATACGAAGTCGAGTAACGAAAATCATTACATTATCAACTTCTACATTAAATATTCCTTTAAATATTGAACAAAATTTAACAATAAATCCATCAAATCAGTTAGAAATTTTTTTTATATGAAATCTACAACTCTACTCGATCAAAACACATCTTTATTGTTATCAGCATGCAGGCTGAACAATAGAGTCCGTCGAGTCCGGGTCTGAAGATTTTTATTGGTCAGTTCCGCATTGAAAAAAAATTAGATTCGTATTAGAAATTTTTTTGAAATTTCTTTAAATTCTTGTTCATCTGACTCCAAAAATATTGAATTTATTTTGAAAAAATAGAAAAAAACAATAAAGTTCTTTCTCACTATAATATGTAAACATAGTTGCAATCATAAATCTGTAAATCAGACCAAATATTATCTGGTTCTTCACTATTGTCTATACTTTCAATAATATTCAAACAATAATCATGATCATCACTTGTTTTATACGCATTATTTCTTCCATTAGAAGCTATTGATGTGAGATGAGAATCAATTGTAATTTTATTCCTACGGCTGCGGTATCTGCCTGTTTAAACAAAATGTAGACAATGCTATCCATGGAACAAGAAAAAACAAATCCAACGTATCACATATCCTCAAGCAACAATCAGATTTATATTAGAAAATTGAACAGTTTTACGAGTTCGGTTCAAATCCGAACCCATAAAAAATTGATCCCTGAGCTTTGAGTTCAAAAAATTCTCTAGCGGGTCCAGGCTCGGGTCCAGAAAAATTTCACCGACCGGGTCCGGNCATTAGTTCAATTTGAATTCGTCTAATTTTTTCAGCTTATTCAAGGTCATTCGTATATCTATCATAATAAACATGTATGTAAACAGAATAGATTCAATAAAATAACGATGAGTAAAAGTACATTGGAATCATTACCAAATGAACTTTTGCTTATTATATTTTCTTATTTATCTTCATTTGATCTTTGTCAAGCTTTTCTATGCTTAAACAATGCTCGTATTCAACATCTTCTTATTTCGATTCGTCATTCATTTAATGTTAATTTAATGCATTATGATCAACTACATCTATGGCTCAATAGTAATCAGAATCATAGAAATCGTTTTACTAATTTGATAAATACTGTTGTGTTTAATGATTCATATGCTTCCCGAACGTTACTTGAATACTGGGAAAAGACTTTTAATGGAACTGATCAATTCAATGTACTATTCCCATCGATAAAACGCCTTATTATGTTACAGGCAGAATACTGTTCATATTATTGTATTCAACCAATATTGATACCTTTGGTTTTTGCTAATAATACATTACAATATTTACATCTCATCTTCAAAGAACCTGCATGGAATTATTCAAGGATACTTTCCGAACTTATTGTTCATCGTATTTCAGTTCATACTATGATATTAGAAGTTGAACAAGGTATGTTATCAAACATATTTTCAAAATAAACAAATTGAATGATCAGCAGTGTTATTATATTTCTGGCCATCGTGTAGGATAGAGTTGTCGGATTGAGAGATTTCGAATAAATTCTCTCTTCCATTAGAAGGCCCTCATTAATAAATTAGTAAATTAGCATTTAAAACAGTCAGTTTCTATTCAAATAAGCATAGTCGGTGAGTTTTTCTCTCGAAAATATTACAGAAACATAATTTGGATCATCATTGCGGGTCAAAACTCTGAAGAAAATCGCTGTCACAATCCCAAAAAATCAATAGGTTTTTCGAAGACCTTGTTAATTAAAACTAAGGACAATTAGCAAACATTTTAGAAGATCCGGAATCTTTCATTGTGGGAGGATATCTAGTCTTTGGATTTGAGTTGTGCCGATGTGCTTGAGATTGAAACAATATTTCTACATAGATATTTGCCAATTTGATTATCTGTAACACTTAGTTAAATAATTTGATATCTCTCTTATGTAAGTTATCAATTATTCTATATTAATATACAAGTGTCTTATTTCTAGAAAGGAATCATGTTAAAAGTTTAGCAATATGAATGTAAAATTTTGTTATTCTGTAAAACTTCACTGGCTGTTGGAGGGATGTTACCGGTAATGAGTTTTTGAATAATAAACATTTTCTTAGTTTATGCTTGCATAAAATATGTGTATTGAAAGATATATTTAATTTGATAGAAGAAACCGCCATGACCGTCATTCAATGTTCATGATAGTGATGTCAGCAATCAATTCGAGGAAGAGTTCACGAATAAAATCACATATTCATTTAACAAAAAAAATCAAACTCCTGATCAATTTATAGAATTTCAATGCGATTATTAAGGAAAGAAAGATCATAAGATTGAAAATAGGAGAATAAGAGAGTGAATAAATAAAAGAAAAAATATATTAGATATCTAAAGATATTTAATTCTTTGAACTTTTCTTCAGTGATCGGTTATATAAGAAATATTATAAAGATGTTCTTTATGAGAAAAGACAAGACCCATATAGAGATATTCTTCGAAACTTTCCTTACCATTCTTATTTGAAAATAACTTGAAATAGTTAAGGAGTATAAAAACTCATCAATATTTGTTGTATAATTTTCAATTGAAAATTAAATGCAATAACTTACTACGAAGTTACGATATTATCGATTGTTCTCGTGCTTATGAGAATCAATTCTGTTTTTCCTAGGGTTTAAAAATAAATGAGTTTAACTTTTCCACAATAAAAAGTACAATTGAAATAAAAGAATATTTTTCTGTCTTGCTATTATTATTAATATTCGTTACTGATTTTATTCCTAGGTCACAGATCGGTTTCGGAGAATACGACGGAAGGTTTACACAACATGCAATCACTATCCTTGTCAAATACAGTTCAATTAACAATAAGTATTCAACATCCAAGCGAATTAAGACTTTTATTTGAACACAATGCTCTACCTGCAATCGAATATTTGAATATTACTATTGAGAATCCACAGACTACTGTGCCTTGCAAGGTACCAATTACTCAACTTTGCAAAGATTCTCTACGACAAACGGCTAATGGTGGTACTCATCTGAGAGTTTTGGTCTTACGTTATATAACTTTGAATGATGTTATCATATTAATTGGCTCATTAACCATGCCTTTACTTGAAGAATTGATACTTATTGATATGTATGATGATAGTAAGTTATTTCTTTATCTATTATTTTGACATGATCATTTGCAATCATTCAGTCAGTTTCATTAGTAGTCTATCCATACTGTAACGATTTTTCAGTCGAATGTGATAGTGTATCTGTTAGTCTGTAGCCACTTGTATTTATAATGATGAAAAGACTATCGAGTATATGCGAATAGTTAAATTTTAAGAAAGGAAAACTTCTTTTGGATCTCATCCATATGTAATTTTAGATCTTAAATTTCGACTTTCATTTTGTTGGTGCACAGTCTTAGTTCAGTCAAATATTTCTCAATGCGCCTCTAACTATTGATTAGGCATGCACTGAATCCGAGCTATAGTTCGGGGTTCGGGTTCGGTCTCTTCTAAGCATGGCCAACTTCTTTTTATAATACTTATAGCACTCCAGTTTTTGGATGATTTTTCTTGTTGTGTGTCGGTCTACTGTTGTCATCCACAAGATCCTTCATTTTGTCCCACCTTCACCCAGTTTTATCGATAACGGAAAATGACTGCACATTACACCGAATCCGAACGTTCGGGTTCGATGCATGCCTACTGGCGTCTAAAAGTCTTCGTTTGTAAATCATCAAATGAACTTTAGACACGCAGGATGTTCATAAGAAATCTCCAGAAAAACATTGTAGCGATACTATGCGAGATAGAAATATAATATTCCAGGGATGAAATTGTCCCTTTTTTTTAAATAAAAGACAATTTCTCAACGTTTGCGAGGAGAAAAAAGTTTTGTTCTATTTGATGAACCACATTGTTCGAGTTTTTGATGTTTCCAAAGATCGTAAATCTAAAGTGTGTCCTTTTACAAATCTAATCTTTATTTACCTGTAATTTGAAAAAAGACTGTAACTTCTCCAGGATGAAATATACTCAGAAAAACACTATGCTACGTCCAATGACCCGATCAAGAATAGGCCGAAAAGAAACACTTCAGCATGTAATTTGTCTCTGATGGATTTTATCGCGTATTGTGGAAAATGAAGATATAATATATGTGACTGTATGATAATATCTAATGAAATGAGTCAAAATAAATAAAGGAAAGTGTCGTAGGATCGAATTATATGATAATGAATGAAATAATTGATAGGTGTTCATTTTAATTCATTTGGAAATACAAGTGTCTCATGGTCGGAATCTATCCAAGTTGACACTGTTTTCGTAGACTTATCTAAAACCGTATTCTTCTTTGTTGAAAAATCTACTTTTCAACAGGGGGGACATGAATTGATAGTTTGAAAGTTTTTCGCTTAAAAATGTTCTATGAAAATATCTTTTATTTTTAACTTAAATTACTTGCTTTGATAATGTTGTTTATTTATCTGATCAACTGAATTCAAATGTATATGATTTTGAATATTTATTCAGACAACAAGATTCATTTCATTTTTGTAATTGTACATTTCTTTCTCTTCCAGCATTAGATCGTCTTGGTCAATTTCAAGAACTTTTTAATTCTTCAAATTTTCCTACTTTGAAAACTCTTCATTTCTCATTATGTTTTCCTCAAGAAATCGAACATGCATGGAGAATAAGTTCATTTAGTTGCAATCGTCAATGGCCTTTTGACAATATTAATTGCTGCATAGATGAGCGTCATGTACATGTTTTGGATGCAAGAGGTTATATTGCAAAGATCCTATTTGTTATCTACAATTGTTCAATTCATCTCCTCTATCGCTACAAACGAACTTTTTACAATTATGGTTTCACAACACATGTATCTGCTCCCATTCGTACAATTCGACGACGATTGATTCAATGGACATGCGATCAAAAATATGAGAGTGAGCAATTAAATAAAACTCTACGAATAATTGCAAGTGATCGTGTTAATGAACTTCATTTAACATATTTAAATGAACAAGTAAGTCGTAAAAAATAGATTGAATAAAACTTGCTGATCTCGATTTTGAATTGGAGTGCTTTATAGAATATTTACGAATGAGTATTTTTCTCGAAACTTAACAAAGTAATTTGTCAGGTTTCTTGTCGCGATAACAAATATATACTTATTGATTGAGTATAAGAATATGTGTACAACGTTCGAGACAAATCAGAATAGATTATATTTAATAGGAAATTTATAAAAGAATGAATCTCATATTTGAATATTGTTAATTCGTAGATTAGATGTTTATTTTATGTGATAGAATAAACAAATTAACAGCATAGAGAAGATTAAAGAATAAAAACAAACTATGAACCTTTTCTTTCTATTATTTGTCTATTTTCTCAATAATTATAATGTCACATTTAATCTTAATCAAAAATGATGATTTAATTCGAATTTATGAATATACCAAAGGTTTTAATGTAAAATCTAACTAACGCCATAGTGCTAATTAGTTTCCTTTGTTTATGAGAAGTTTAGCACGGATTGAATTTAATTTTTGGAGTTAGTAAAGATTTTGCTCTTTTTTAGTATCTAGTATATAAATTAATTCATTTTGAAATTTTTCAACGATATTTTATAGATGTCGATGGTCATAGAAGAAAGTCAATGAGATAAATCTTAGTTTGATTTTCTTGGTGAAAATAAGCTACACTCACACGCTACACACAATAGTGTGTCTAGATTAGGCCCCGAACAGACCGACTAATTCAAAGTGAATTAAAACGGAATTAACGAATAAATCGTCTCAAAAAGACGATTTAAATCGAAATAGGCCCCAATCACGTTGCTTAATTTGTTTTATTTTTTTCAGTCTGTTCGGGGCCTTATCCTCGCTTGTTTTAAACAATAGAATCACTTTCTATTCTTTATTCTCATATATCCCTACATTTTTTGACTTATATTGAAAATATGTATTCAGTGAGACTTTTGTTAAATTACAAAATATATTTTAAAATAAGATGGATATGAAAATAAGACAAATACTCAAATCAANTAAACAATAGAATCACTTTCTATTCTTTATTCTCATATATCCATACATTTTTTGACTTATATTGAAAATATGTATTCAGTGAGACTTTTGTTAAATTACAAAATATATTTTAAAATAAGATGGATATGAAAATAAGACAAATACTCAAATCAAATGATATGTTATTACCATTTCGTTTAATTATTCATTGCCACTATTGGAGTTTACAAAAATTCAAAAATGAACCGAGTCAAAGTCTAATTGTACATCATAAATAAAAAAAGACTTGAATTAATTTGTCTATTATATGGGTAAAGTATTTCTAATTGTCATTCAAGAGAAACTAAAATCTTCTCACAAAAAAAATTAAGCGCATTATTTTTAATTTATTATATTTTAATTTATTTTTCTGGGCTGCCTATTAACTGTTTCAAATTGAATAGATTTGAACGTTGAGAGCTTTTTGCTAAGAAACTTCCTGAGAGATGAATGCATAGAAAATAGACTTGTTCTAATTAAATAGTAACTTTTTCATTGCATAAACTTTTATGTGAATGTTTAATGTTAGAATTATCATTTATTTCACTTCCAAAATTATATAGAAACTAATCAACATTTGGCAAAAAACTTCATGAACATAGTATAAATGTCAAACTTTTCCTTGATATGAAAAAGCTATGTTATCATATTACTTGCATGAATATGTACAAAAGAAAAGCATCTCGAACTCCACATAAAGGCAGATGATTGAAATTCATTTCATGTCTTGCTATCTTCAGAATTCCATAAACTTCTCAAAGTATTTTTGCTAGTAGTTGATAAAACTGAAATGGAGCATAGTTTTGATGCCAAACATTATATGATTTCCTAGCATCTGTAAATGATTTTCATCAAAATAGAATTTTCTTATAAAGATTATCAGTTTTCATTTGTGTGATTTATTCTCAAGTAAGACTCCATATCATTAATCAATTACAATTCTGCAGTCTTTCTCGCTTTGATTCATATGTCTAGGGTTTGTACGAGTAAAAAATAGACTTCTTAGAGCTAAAAAGAAAGCATAGACTAAAAGATTCCTAATCTGAAATTCATTTAAAAATATTTCTTTTGGATATTTGACTATATATCTCCGAGATAATTTAATCTCATTTCTCAGTTTATTTCGCTCTTTCTAAGAACATGTTTTTATTGAGTCTTCGGAACATCTTTTATAATTATGAACGAGTTGGTATCAGTACGACTAATAACTCTTATTCAAGATGGACAAAACGTGCTTGATAAAAGTAACATCTTTAAACCACTCAGATATTTGTTCACAGTTAAGTAGACTGATGTAGGATCAAAAATCTGAACATATGTATAATAGAAAATAAATTCTCATTCTAATTTATTCGTTTTGATTATCTTCAATGGCAACTAGACATTCGAAGCATAAGTAGATGCATGTATAAAAACCTACTAGTTTAAAATTTCGAACAGAGATCGATTCAGATTCTTCTTAATATTTTTGTTCTTAATGCTGTAGTTTAAGTCAAAAAGAAATCTGAATATATAGAGAGACAGTACATGAATTACTCAGTCTAGCTGACTACTTTTTTCTCTTCAGTTGCTTAAAACCACTCGAACATTGAATGATAAGTTTCTGCAAAGACTTGGTGCATATTAATTAAAAGTTATGAATAATCTAATTATCCAAACTGAAACAAATGGGATATAATATATTATACATTGTTTACAAGAACAGAAGACTATTTCTAATAGTGAACTGATTTTTAATTGGTATTATATTAGAAAAATTCTTTTAATTTATAAAGTAGAATATGATCAGCGAGAAAAATTAATATTTACTAGTTTTTGTTCCTTTATAATAAATGAAGTGCTATTTTATATGCGCAACAATTTGATAGAAAAACTATTTAAACAAGTTGGCACTTATATATTCCATTTTAATATCTTCTTATTTCTGATAAATTATATTCATATCACATCGAAAACCAAAAAATGAAAACATTTTTATTAGTATGGACGCTCAACCGAAAAAACAGCTCAAATATGTGAAACAATAGCAAATGCTCTATGATTGGTTGGTTTTTTTTGGAAGGGGCTAGTTATAACATTGGTATCAGTAGATAGAGAAAATTTTTCTCTATCGAACTGTATATTTAGTTTA